GTCTGGGAATGTACCACGTCCACGGTCCTACTCTGGAAATGATGATGCATACAATGGACTCCGGACTAGTCGCGAAAACAAGGTCAAACAACTTCTATACAACGAAAGGAGACTGCGGCTACACAAAGGGTCACACCATCTTGGTCTTCATACCATTGAAGAGATTAGCTCAATTAAAGACACATCTGAGCTGCATGATTTCACTTTATTATTCTAAATTAAGCCAACAAAATAGTCATAATAAATTTTAGGAAGCAGGCACGAAGAAATATTTAAGGTGATCTATCAACAAAAATAATTTGTTTTCCGATCTAGAAGCTCAACAAGTGACGTAAGGCAATAAACCGAAACTTTCAATATAGCATATTTATCATTAATAAGTCGGGTTTCGAGATGTATTCACTCTATTTCGTTAAGGGTTGTCAAGGCCTAGTGGTTGCAATTTCCCACAATGATATGACGTCTCCATTCAATTTCACATAGCCTCGATTTACCAAAAAGTGTTCTCGTTCAGGGTGGGCTGCAGCTTCCAGTTCGCCCGAGTCTTATCAACACCCCCAGCGGGAGTCGAACCATGACAGTGAAGCGTGTGAGTTCGACGCGTTAACCACTACGCCACATTTTCACAAGCGCCCTTGAATCTCACAGGGCAGATGTGAATTTCACGCAAGGCCAAGCATTTATTCACATCATATCCTTTGGTGGGATTGTCGATCGAGTAGAGCCACATTTACAATGACAATCGACTAGATTACCTATTTTGCGTTCATAAGTAGTGTCGAGACTACTAGCAAATCAATTATATGAAATGTAACATCAGCTCTATTCACATCATTGTGGGAAAATTCGTCTGCAAGTAGGATGATTACATCTCATCTCGTTAAAGCATATTAAAAGGCACACAATCAGACTGATAACTAAACCATTAAAATTAATGTCAACTGCACTATCCGACTCTCTGCAACATACACAGTTCAAAATGGGAGCGCAGGCATTCAAACAACAGTGATATCTAAAAATGTGAATTGTAAAGTATGCAACAAAAATAAAAAAGAAGCTATCAACAGAGATTTACTGCCCAATAAGCCGTGATAATCACCTGATATAGAATATTTTGGCCTTTTTCGGATAACCATACAATATAAATTGACAACCGGCTAGCCTGGAAACCAAAAGCAATAATCGTAGGAGACAATTCGACTTTAGTAGCAAAAATGCATCCAATAAAAAAATCTAATGAAATAGCAATATCACAAAAGTGAGTCCATTTTATACAGCAGGTTACATTAAGCAGATTATTTATAATAACTAGCATAAGCCGAGATTTAAAGTTTAATGAAATAATTTAATTAATTTAATATATGACTTGACTTGACTCTTTGACGAGCTGTAATATGATGCTATGAATGGCGAGACTCCCTGACGTTTCTGACTACGATGCCGGCGAAACGTTTGGGAATGTACCACGTCCATGATCCTACTCTGGACATGATGATGCATACAATCGACTTTGGACTAGGCGTGTTCGTCTAAGTCTTCCTACCAACATGACCGAGTTGCGAAAACAAGGTCAAACAAGGTCAAACAACGTCTATACAACGAAAGGAGACTGCGATCACACAAAAGGCCACACCATCTTGTTCTTCATACCTTCGATTTAATTAATTAATTTCTTTTGGTCCAGTAGAAATAGGAAAACTCCATATTTTATGCTCTATCGAAATAAGAAAGTGAATATTAAATTAAATTATCACAAATAGGCCATAGAACAAAACCTAACAAGCATATTAAAGGACACCCAGCT